GAGCCTGCAGGGGATCCCATGCTTTTCATTTTCGGGCAATCTTTTTTCCTCCGGCCTCTGAGGATTCCCCTCATCGTCCCTTCAGATACTTTGGGGCTTTGTGCTGTCTCTCTTTGTAAAGATCCTCACATTCCCACCGTCAGCCCCGTGGGAAGGCACCCCACTTCCCATTTAGGAATACTTCTCACACTTCCCTCATCAACCCTTTCAGACTTCCGGTTCTCATTCCCCGGTCCTGTCCTTTCTTTTCCATTCTGAGGCACCCGAGGTTCCTCCATCCAGGCCAGCCCCAGCTCGTCACCCGCTCTTTGGCCCAGAGGTCTGCTCAATAAATGACCTTTAGTCTCTGATTCCCCGCCCCGCGCATTCCTCGGAATTCCCAGTTTATAGAGGGGTTGGAGGAATCTCAGGACAACCCCCTTGGGCAGTGGACGAGAAGGTCAGTTTAATAGATGGGTTAGCGCTCCTCCTCCCCGCGCTTAGGGAAAATCCGCAGAGTGAGAGGGAAGTGGGAATTGAGAGAGGAAAATTCAATCCAGGAGAGGAGCGTAGGGCAGGTGTCAGCCCATCTAATACAGGCTTACAGGATTTGTTTTCGCCTTCAGAAAATGTTACCGCGTAGTGACCCGACTCGACACTTAAATTTTAGGTTCCTTCCTTACTTTGGGGGTGGAGAGTCTGTGATCTCTTTTGGGGCCTGTTCGCTGGCCCTCGGTTTCCTAGGCTCTCGCCCATCACTGCAAGGGGTACCGCGGCCTCAGACCCTTCCGCGCCCACTGTTTAGCACCGCCTCCTCTCTCTCCGCAAACGCTGGGAAAGACTGGCCAGGATGACAGCGACCTGTCTTCCTCTGTGCCAAAGGAGGGCTCCTCCTGCCTGGGTTTAGAGTGAGCTCCAGAGCTTGAGCTCGGGTTTGATAGGCTGGGGCGGATTCGGCCCTGCCGGTGAGGACAGACACCTTCTCCCAGAAGCACCGCCAGGCCAAGGAAGCCCTAGAGGATGCTGACTGCGCCTTGGGGTGGCCCTGCGGCTGCATCTGTTTGAGCTCAAAGGGCGGCTGGCTCTGTGTGTTCTTGGTCTCCAAAGAACAGTGGGCGTGACTCGCCACCCCACCCCCAGGTTTACACCCTAGAGACCCAAGGTAAGAACTGGAAGGGAAAATGGACCCACAGGCAGAGGGAGTTGCTCAGAGCCTGCAGCTGGTAGGTATCAGCAACCCCAGGGGGACACTTTGCAGTGACTGCAGCCACTGCACTGATAGACAAAAGGAAGGCTGCAGCACAGCGCTGGGCCAAGGCTTTAGGACCAGGTTTAGGCCTGAGCGCCTTCAGCTTCAAAGCCTCTGTCTATAGAGGCCTCATTCAGGTTTGGTGCTTTGATCCTTGGCCTCAAGCTCAACTCATTTTTAGGCCCACCCTTTGGGTCACGAAGCTGCCATCCGGCTGAGGATTTAGCTCATTTAGCTCAGTGGTTCTGCTGCCTCACAAGTGCAAGGTCTTGACTGGATCCCTAGTACAAAAAAATAAAATCTGCCACCAAGTCCTAATGGAAGGGAGTACCTTCAGAGGAGATCCAGACTCTCCCCAACTCCTGACTCCTAGGGGCACTACTCTTTCCCACACCCACACCAATCCAGAGCCCATCACTCCTACAAGGAAATGCCTGTTTGCATAGATTCCTGGAGAAACAGTGTGCGTGCAGCTAGCCTTCACATTTAGATACGGAGAAAAGAATGCAGAGTCTTGAGAGAGATAATTCATCCAAAACCCTGAGGTACATGCGGGGTGTTGGGGCAGGCTCAAAGGCCTTAGAAGCAGCAATGACTCCTGACTCCCCATGGGGGTAGGGTTTCCTGGAGGAGGTGAAAGGGCCCCTGGGAGTGAGGGAGCATTTTAGACAACAGGTCTAGAGACTGGAAGGTTTGGGAATCTTGAAGAGGGTCAGGAAGCAATTGTACCCAGGCCAATGGCTCTGGGGTGTCGCCACTGAGGTCCTTGTGGCCTGCCCCATACTCTGGAGCAATTTTTCAGCCCCTTCAGCCTTTCCACCCTTGTCTTCCTTTTGGTGCTGCAACCTTCATCCATGGGCCTGCTGGAAGTTCCAGGAAATTCAGGCAAACTGTCAAGCTGAGAAAAGTTGAAACCCCCGCAAAATCAAGCTGTTTTTTTCATGGTTTGGGCTTTCCTACTCAGTTCAGAGGCCTGCACTGCAACCATTCCCAGGCCTTTTATCATCTCCTCTGCCATTCAGGCAACATCCACAGAAGTCTGGTGTCTTCATCCCTTACCAGCTTCTAAGTCCTGGAGTGAGACTCAGTCCAGCATGGGATTTAGAAATTACACTGATATTCTCATGACCTTCAGGTTGCCTGCTCCATTCTGCTTGACCCA